CTTTCGGAGCAGGTGGTCGTCCTATTTTTAACGATCCCGATCGATCAGTAGCAGCGCGATAAGTTAACCAAAATTGCCTTGACTAAGATTATCGTGCTTTTGAAGAATCAGCTTTCGATGCTACGAAGAATGTCGTCGTGACCACCCCTCGAATCTGGACGTTTCCTGCCAATTCGGCGTCGATCGGGTCTACGATCTGTATTTTTATATAGCAGTCTTGTCTAGTATAATATTAATTATATATGTCTACGCGACTGCGTTTCTTCAATTTATATGCAGAAAAAAACAACAGAAAATCTAGATGTAGCAAATGCATGCAGCATAAATTAATATGTATCGCGCGATACGTTTTTTCTGTGTACTGTGCAAGATTTTCCTGCAGAATAAATACATGCGAGATGTAACAACGCAATGAAACTATCGTGACACTTTAGATTTTTAGTTTTTACGTATTCAGTATATATGATATTATTGTTTTAATACGAGATATGTAGTATATATATATATATATATATCATTAATGGTACGATTCTTTTTTATTGGCAGCGCACTCACTGCGCTTTGATAATCAAGTTTCGTTGTTAGAGAAAGATTATCCGAAAAGAGTAGAATAAAAAGGAATACATTACTCTCTTATATGGATGCGGGATACAAAAGAAAGTATATAACAGGATATGCTGTTATAATCTAACTGATAAACGCGATCATATTATTAACATTATTAACATTATTAACATTATTAACGAAAAACATCAAATAATGGAAATATTGGAAGATCTTGCAAGGAAAGCCGAATAATGATAACATAATCAATATTAGCTGTATATAAGATTAGCTTCTTAAGTGCATAAATCGAGAGGGAGTAACCACTTAATGTAATCATAGGACAGAGTCCTCGAAATCATTATAAAATTCATATGAAATCTCTATGTATAATCCGATAATTACATATGCAACTACGAGAAGTCATTGTATAATATTAAATAAAATCATATATTTTACCAAATGACTTCATATGTAGTAAACAAAATTATTTGTAATCAGATGAAATCATGTAATCTGTGGGACAATATTTCAGCTAGTGGTCACCCCTACGGCATAAGCATTGTCTTCTAGATCGATTGATTATAGATTGATAATAATCAGTGCGTTCCAAACTTATTCTTTGTACATACACCTGAATTCTCTCTCGATCATTTTATCCTCTTTTATTTCCTTGACAAAGCACACGCGAATAAAATTAAATATCTTTAAAATATCTTTAATTTCGTAGAGAGAGAGAAATTGTTGTTCAGACAATAATTATTATAAAAATTATTTCAAAGTAATTATTTTTATGTAATTTAATATATATTCAAATATATAAATATATATATATAAATAAATATATAAATAAATATATAAATATGTACATGATCTATCTATAGAGATTATATCTCTTTATTCTCAAATTCGAATAAATTGTGAATAACTTGAATGTTGATTTTTTGCTTAATAAGCTTTCGAGCATGATGTTGTGTCATTGCGGTCTGATTAAGTTACGCGTAGTAAAATAAATATGTAAACACATTATATCAGTCATTTTTCAATCGAGTAACAGTCAACTTCTAATTTAACGTACATTGTCAAATTTCTTTTGAGTATCTTAATATGCAGTATTTTATATAAATTAATATCACATAAAATATTTGTCACATAATATATCAAATATTCTCAAATCGTCTGATTAAAGTCTGTGACAAATTGGATTCTCGATTTCAACTAAGAAATTTGGCAAAACTTTTTTACTCATGGACTTTATGTGAACGAATCTTTGACCGAAATACCTCTTTCTTCATAATCTAATGTATCGATTTAACATGCTATATCGACGTTCGTTCTCATAAATTGCCATTGTTATAAGTATTTTAAATAATTGTTTTGTCATAGCGATTATGACTTTATAATCACTGAAGAAGACTTTGTCTGCCGAAACATTTGTATTTCATAATTATATATTGTATCTTATCTTAATTATTAATTCAAAGGCAATTCTAATTATAAGTTCGAAATAAGCCACGACTCTAATTAATTTGCGTAGCACACGAGCTTTTTTACTTTGATTTTAAATATGTAAAATGCATATGTCTCTTCGAGCTCTATTATTTGTGAGCCAAGATACTGTAGAAAATATAACAAATTGCGGAGAATGCAAGAATAAATGAACTAATAAAAATTACTGTCATTTGCTCACCATGCTAGATAGAAAGTGTACGGTAAACTCAATAATGTCATTTTCAGAATCATATACTTGAAGAATCACGATACTGTTATTCAATTTAAAAACATATTTCTTTTATTTTAATATTTATTTTGTCAATAATATATTCTCTTTATAATCTTGCTTTCCAAGTTTTTATATAATCTCGCAGGTATATATTTATTGTTCTCAATGTGTCTTAAAAAAGATTAATATAAAAAAACATAATTACACAAATTCCAAACCATTAATATAAAATACAATATGATTTATTTTATTGTAAAAATCAATATAATTCACTCTCCTATTGTGGTTGCTATCCAAACATAATAGTCGAAGATTAGCTAATGCACAATCAAGATAACGAAGGAATTACATGATTGTTGCACTAAGATTAGAAGATTTAGGAAGACAAACATTACTTTTCAAATTGCGTACATTTGCATTACTTTATCATCATCATTATGACGCGTATTATTTCAAAGAGGTTGTCGCGCAAATAGAAGATTATACGTTACAATTTGTTTTTTAATCGCCGTAAGAAATTAATGTGTCATGCGCTACTCTCATTTCTAATATCACATTGCATAGGCTTTAATATTCATTGCCGTTATATAAATGATTTGTTACGCGAATCAGGAATATCACACATATGCGACATGTACGGTAACGGATGTGTCACACTGTCAACTGAGACCTTTATCGTTCTACATATGAAAACCCTCAGAACCTTTTTACATACAATAGTATGTGAATGGGTGCATTGCAGCCATAAATAAACATTATCTAAATTTTATAAATGATATAATTTTAGATTATTTAATACTTTTTTTTGTGCAAGTTTTTATAAAAGCAAAATATTAAAAAAATAATCTAAGATTGATTTAGTTATTTACAAGATAATTGTTACCATTCTAATTATTCACTAATGCGCATTAATTGATTATCGATCCTGCAAAATTTAATAAATTAGCTATTTTTCATCAAAAATACACATATCTGTAGTACGATTGTTAATAGAAATAAATAAACCGTGTAATATATAATGCACGGTAAATGTTCGAAAATAATAAATTCCAAGCAAAAAATAAGTATGAAAATCGAATTGTCTCAAACAAGTTTGTAAACAGTTATTAGGATTTTATATCATTGGATTGGATTTAAACTGACAATGCTAAGTATAATTTGCAGACATAAAAACAACTTTATTTAAAGCAGCCGACGGTAAAGCGATCAATACATTGTGTAGCAAGGTTTAACAATGGCTTTAGAAATATAACGCTTTATCTTTACCCTTTGTGAAGTTAACATCCCATTTCTAGGATTTCGATATAATTGATAGAGTTCTGACTCTCAAGCAATTCTGGAGTTCCTGATACATCTCAAAAAAAGATCGAACGATTGAATGCAAAAAATAGTAGCGTGAAGCTATGCCAACTTTACAAAAATTAATCCCCATAACAAAATATTATAAATTTTCAAAAAAAGTATATTACATATCAAGTATATACTAGTATAATATACTATACAAGATAAATAACTTTAATAAATCTTCAAATTTTTTCTGAATCATAAAAAGGTTCTTTTTTGTGAAAATATATATCTAATATTTTTTTATTAATTCTATAACACATTAAAAAGTTATTCTTAACTTTTGTATCGTAAAACGTGAAGATGACGTTTTATGTTTTTCGATTCTTGTTCTTCATACATCTAAAACTTTTTAAAACAATTGCTAATGGAATCTAAATTTTCATATTCGCGTAATATAATAATAAATTTAAAAAAGCGCAATATCATAAAGACATTTGGGACAAATGTATATTCGCTTTCGAATTGATTATAATAGCTCAATATAATCCTTCCTGAATAAAACAACAAATTTCAAAGATTTTTTGTAGAGTAACGTCCTAGTGAAGTAACGGCTTAAAGTTACCTATCTTTACAGTCGGTAGTTTCCTAATGGTCTGCATTATGTCTTTTAACGACCTACTTAATGATCGTAGATTCCTAACAAACGTTTTTACTGCCTGCAATGTTTTTCTTTTTAGAAACGTTAAACGTATATCTAGTACTAATATCTGTATACGTTCCGCGCCATCCATTTATTCTCTCGACGAAAGACTTGAAAACAATCGGAATCCGTTGGCGAATGTGCGTGGCGATCGTTATATATATACATATATATATATATATGAGTGAGGCTCTTCCGATCGAACATTCCAACGTATTCCGAAAGAGTGCGAGAGCACGGTACAAGCACGGCTCGTTCCGCTCGCGTTACAACGAAGGTCCTTTACGCCTCTTTACCCGTCAGCGAGCTCTCACGCTTGCCCCCCACTTCGTGACAACCCTCTTTGCCACCACCGAGCGTCCGCGCACCCCCTTCAACCCCTTCCACATCGGCAACCTTATCCATGGTCTTTCAGCCATACTACCCCACCCCTCGCGATCAATGCTCGTGAAAAGGTGGGCGCGCGTCGCGTTCGCGCTCGCGCCCTCTGCGTACGTCGCCTCCCTCCAATCCTCTCTCTCTCCCTCCCACTTTTTCCGGCCTCTCTGTTTTTCCCCGACGGGGAACACACTCCGTTTCTATCTTTCTCGTGCTGTTGCACCGATTCGCGCGGCTCGGCTGGCGCTAAAATGCCCCGAGACTCGACGAGGCGCTCGGACGGAGTGCAGCCCTCTGACCCGATTCAACGACTTACGACCAGCCAGCGTCCCCGTTTATCCCCGGTGTCGGATCGCGATGTCAATCGGAATCGAGATCTACACCACGCTACGCTACAGGGAAATTCTCGGAACAAGTTACCGAGCCGTTACCGAGCGTGGTGGTCAACTATCGATCGACTCACGCACTCGAGAGCGCCCGCTTGAAATTTTAAAGACCAGCACCCTCGCGAGGACGGTTTACCTTTTTTCTTTTCCTATTTTTCCGACAGGCCGAGTTATGACTAATTGACCGCGAGAAAAGAACGTAAAGTTTCGAAAGACGGATACGGAAAGTAAAGTCTGCGGAATTGCGCAAGTATTAAACTCGAGGCGCGTTCCTCGTAAAGTTGTGCGCATCCTCCGACGTAGGAAGAAAGATCGAGAGATGCGTATTCTCTTCATGGCGAGACGTGTCTAGAGAACTTTACCGTTTACTTCCTCTCCCTTTTCTCTTCTTGTCTTACACTTTTCTTCATATACGAGATACGATATATACGGTTTCATAAATTGCGAGTGTTCGAGGAATTGTTATCTCCCTGGAGAACATAAAACTGCCCCTCTCTCTCTCTCTCTCTCTGTCTTTCTCGCCTGCACTCTATCATCGGTCCTTCGGTTAGACTGGGTTGACACTTGACATCGATTTAACTCGGACTAGCGCGCGCGATAATATCTTACCTTCGCAGATGTACCCCTGCTGTATGAGGCCCCAGAGCATGTCCGTGCAGCTATGGCAGTACGTCGGTTTGTGAAACATTTTCTTACTGAAGCTGTGCCCATGGCTGGCTGGAGTCTCGGCCGAGACCGACGCCATATTCCCCGTTCCACCGCGGAACCGTTCACGCCAGATTTTCACCGTGAAGCTACGCAGGGCGCGCCGCGCGACGATGACAACATAATTATTACACGCCCGACACTACGTGATCTCGGAACCGTACGCGTACATAGCTGCGTTGCTGCAGTTGCTGCGATGGTGGTAGTAAGAGGAGTAGTAGTAATCGTCGCTGACCGCACGCTGGCCCACTCGCCGTACCGTCGTACCGTCGTCGTCTCGTACGGCGCCTCGTCGTAACGTCGTCGTCGTGCCTAACACGCATTATTCCACGAGCTGCGCCACGGAACGACCGACGCGCCGGCAGCCACGATCGCGCGCGCCAGATGCGTCGTCGTCGTCGTCGTAAATCGCCACCGCCACCAATCCGTCACCGATCGCCACCACTCCGATCTCACGGCCGCCGCCGAGCATCACCGTCGTCGTCGTCGCTGTTGCTGTTGCTGTTGCTGCTGTTGCTGCTGCCGCTGCCACTGCCACTGCCGCTGCCGCTGACGTTGCCCTCGTACTAATCGTACTCGTCGTCGCTGAGAGTCTCGCTCTCTTCGCTCGCCGCGTTCGCGATACGACGATGCGTGCGATGTCACGTTCGCGCATCCGACGAGTCGCCTCTGCAATCTCTGTCGCTGCTGCCAATACTGCTGTTGCTGTTGCTGTTGCCGCCGCCGCTGCTGCTGTTGCTGCCGCTGCTGCTGCTGATCCGAGCGTACGCCGCTGTGTGGCTGCACTGACATCAGCCCCTTTTCGTCACCGCCACCAGCCAGTGGCGGATGCGCTGCCCTAGCGGACTAAGTGGGGCGTCATATGGGGGCCGAGCCGAACCGAGCCGAGCCGAGCCGAGCTGAGCTGAGCGAGCGGAATCCAAAGGAGATGCGAGCCGCCCTCTTCCGAGTCCGTAGCCTCGAGGGCGCGCTCTCTCTTTCTCTCTCTCTCTCTCTCTCTCTCTCTCTCTCTCTCTCTCTCTCTCTCTCTCTCTTTCCTTCTCTCGTTTTCTCAATTTACTTTCAATGGATCCTTCCCATGTTTCTCCCTTCCGCGAAAGATTCGAGTAGACAGTTTGAATCTGTACCCCACGTGGAGAACGAGTTAAACGAGTGTCATCTGGAGCAGCGAAAAACGGAGCACCGGCTAAAATGAAATTTCCGAACGGGGACGGAAACCTCGTTCTCCAGCACTGTCGATGGCGACGGAAGCGCGTATCTCTTCGTTATTCCTCGATTCCTTAAGGCCGTAATGCAAGCTCGCACGTCTCTTCACGGCTACGCTGTGAACTTTCGCCGTCTATTTCCGATCAGTCTCCCTCTCTCTCTCTCTCTCTCTCTCTCTCTCTCTTTCGCTCGAGAAGACTCGCGTTTCAATAATATCATGTTGAATCGAAAAGCAAATGTCCGTGACGTTCTACGTCACCTCGAACGGCGATGACGGCATCGATACGTCGCTCGGTACAACGGATTCAAAAAATACCCCTCGTTTATTACTCTCGTCTACTAATTCTCGCCCCTGAGACTTACTTAATTAAATGCGGTCGCGCGAGATCGGTCTTTCCAATTAAACTTCGCAAACTGATAGGCATCCCCCTCTATTTCCCATTAGGAAAGGAACCGCCAGCGACGATACGAACCACGACCGTCTCGTTATCTCGTTCAAGTACGAAGTAACGCGGTATGAATCATACGAACTGCCGACTGTTAACGCGGCCGCATTGCAACGCGCGCGGAATACGATACGGTATATATATATTCAGCGTACGGCTCGCTCGACGATCGCGATAATCGAGATGACGCCCGACGTCGACGACAGTACGACGACGGCGATGGCGCCGACGTCAGTGACGGCCAGTCGACGTCGTTTACCACGACGCGCCCGCGCCGACGCGACTCCCGCCGACTTCCTCCACCACGCGCGACGCGCCTCGTGTTACACATCCGCCGCGCGCGGCCCCGTAATAATACCCGTATGCCATTGTGAACTCCACCAGTACGTCAGTACGTCACGAGTAATAGCACGAGATCTCGCGTCCCTCGCCTCCCTCGTCCTCTCAATCACCTTCGCGATCCACCTCGCGAAATCCACCTCTTTGCCGATTCGCGGCCGCGTTCGTTACTCGTAAACCGTAAGCCGTAACAAGAAGATGCGCCCTCCACCCCCCTCCGCGATTCTTCCCTGAGAGCACGATCCGATCTCTCGGCGTGCGCGTGAATAAGGATGGTAAAAGGCAACAACGGCAGAAAGCGGCAGCGCGTTCCATTTAATCGTCGCTTCTCGATAATGAATACTGCCTATTATCGTCGCGACGCCCGTCGTCGCATTGTACGTCTCGCGCGCGCGCGCATCTCCACTACTCGCTCTCGGGGTTTCACGATACACGCGACTGCACACATACACACACACACACACACACACACCACACACACCACACACACACACACACATCTATACACGCCTACAATGAGTCGCGTGAATCAGGGGAGTTGCGGACGCATCGCGTTGGATTTTTCAATAACGGAAGCACGAGGGGGTGGCACGCATTTTCACATTTCTGTCACGTCCTGTTGTATTCATTAAACCGTCTGCTGCACATGCCTACATTGACGGACATTATAAAGTTATATCTCGCCACGCTTTCTCTCTTTCTCTCGCTCTCTCTCTCTCTCTCTCTCTCTCTCTCTCTCTTTCTCTTTCTCCTTTTCTCTATTGTGTGATCAAACGTGAATGAAACGGGTTTAAATTTCAATATGGGAGAGAAGCACACTAAATGCATCAACTGTTGTTATTACAAACTACTGTTACAATCGCGTACTTATATACGCTTCTAAATGGTACCTTAGGAATATATCTTTCGATGACAGTTTCAGCGTTGAAATTTAAGAAAATACAACGATCAAATTTTCCAAATTTTTCGACTCGTTAACTTTATTGCGTTTACGAGAATTTCGCAGAAAAAAAACTATGCTTTCTTTTGTGCAACATAAAACTGTGATGACACAATTGTATTATCCTTTAGCAACTGTGTAAGCATAAAACTACGACCTTCGATTCGTTCAAATAGTTCGCTAATCATCTAATATTCAGGGATATATATGAGACAATTAATGGATCGATAGCGACTTAAGGAGGTTTTCATGTTTGATAAAGTATAAGACAAATCTACATACCTAACATACATGTGATACAAAAATTAATATTCAAGAATATCTAGAAAAAATTTCATTGACTTTTACCGTACCATTTAATTCTAAATTTATAGAATTTTACATTACAAGTTGAAGGTATAACCTTATTCTCTTTTAAATTGAGACACTTGCGTATAAAGCAGCAATTTAAAAATCATTATAGTTATAAAGTAAACATTTAAGTTTGTTCTCGTAAAGTTTCATTTATATTGACTGTATATATAGTTTACAAGAAATTTATATTCTTCAATGAAATAAGCTATGAAATAATGTATGTCAAATGGATGATGCGTGTATATCAAATAAGCACCTTACAACTTTTATTTTATTATTCTGAAAATATTTAGTAACATATAAAATTAACAATAATTATGTATAATGGCAAAAGATATTGTTAGTAATCTTTTTATTCCATTATTTTAATCGTTTTACATATTACGAATTAACCGTCTACTTACTGGGAAGTAGAGTGAGAAGCTCCATAAAAATACACGCAGATATTAATACTCCGTGCTGATATTATTTAAATACGCTTATCTGGATATGTTCGAGGATATTTATAAATTTTAATCGCGGTTTTTGCTAATCGCTTTTCTAAGCATTTTTTAAATTTAATCCTTCGTCTATAATCTGGGTCTACAATCTTTTTTGATACAAGCGAAATTTCACCCTTAAATTTCTCCAAAATAAAGGAGAACCAGAATCCCCGTTTCCCCTTCCAAAATATCTTGTTAAAAACCTATTTGGTAATGTAATAGAGATGTTGAAAAGTAATTCTGAATTTTCCAAGGAGGTGAAATATTGTCCCACTAGGTGAAATATTGTCCCACTGATTATATGATTTTATTTGATTTTATATGATTTTGTTCTGATCTGATTACGAATTTTTTTCACTACATATGAAGTAATTCGGTAAAATATACGACTTTATTTAATTACACAATGATTTCTCATGGTTGCATATGTAATTATCGGATTATACATAGAGATTTCATATGAATTTTATAATGATTTCGAGGATTCTATCCCACAATTATATTAAGTGGTTACTCCCTCGGAATTTTCCCACATTTTTTGCAAAACTTGGGCTGGACGAAGGGAGTAAAAATATAATTGCAGATGGAGAGTTAAGATAACTTCGAAATTCGGTAATAACAATAATAACGTAGATAAACTGTCTGCTTTTATATACTTTATTTTTTGGACGGAGCATAAAGCATCGTCTTTTGTCAATGCAACATTTGGTCTTAACGTAATACATATTTCATTCTTAACATCAATAGAGTATACAATTCACTTAATGCTACAAATGCTTTGAAGCATTCTTTATTCAGTCAATTAGTAAAATTCCTTCTTCTGATTGATCAATGAAACGCTTCGAAGCATTTGTAGTGTTAAAAATGGACTGCACCCAAAGTCTTATTCTACAGTCCGGTCAGTTATCGTCGAACATCAGTACCAGCGGTAGCAACGAAAAAGTAACTTATCAACTAGATATTTTGATTTGTTTCTGACAAGATATGTATATTACGCTGCTTTTAAAATCTGAAAGTTTCAACGGAATACAAAACGTGACATTTACGTGACCGCATCTGCGTGTCGCGTATCAATCGTATCGGTGTAAAAACAGTACAAGGATTAAAATGTTATGTATCCTGTTAATTGACTTAATAAACGCATGTTAAGACTCTTTGCTTAAGATATTTTGACGATCACAATAAAATATAAGTAGAATAAAAAATGGAATAAAAATTTTTAATGCGTTATAATGAAATAACATTGCGAAAATACGCAAATATAATTGAGTTTAATCGAGTCGTAATAGACAGAGATACAATATATAATTATAAATCTCGTCGCGCTCTTTTTTATAATGTCGTAACACAACATCATGCCTTTCCACTTTAGAAATCTTATCAATTTTCAAGCGATGTTTATATGTTATAAAAGTGCTTTAAACACAGAAAATTTAACCGAAAGGATATACAGAGTGTCACAAAAAGATCGGGGAGATAATTGAATTATCTCAGATAAATGACGTTTTTGTGCTAAATTTTTCATACAAAAGTTGTAGAATACCAAGTAACCTATCATGGCACGGCATAATGAAAAACAGGGCCTGTGTGATTTGACCTTGAACGATCTTGGAAATGTCACCTTGAGTTTTTTAAACGGAAACCCCTATTTTTTATTACAAATATTTATAATCGACATCGAGACCTTTTCAAAACAGATATAATTAAGTTCCATTTGATCAAAAACTATTCAAGATATGCACCGGTAAAATTTAAATACCGTCGGGCATTATTATATCCAAGATGCATTATGCGGAAGAGATTGCACAATTGAATTTGCAATATCAAATTAATATCATCACATATGTAATAGGTAACTTGGTATCCTACTTTTGTATAAATAATTGTTGCTAAAAATATCTTTCCGAGATAATTCAGTATCCCAATCTTTTCGTGATACCCTGTATATGTATATATTCACGTAAGTATATTTTATATATTCTTCTAAAATCTTTAAAGAGAAGTAACTGTGTGTGAACACTTGAAACGAGCACG